CAGCAGAGAGCTGGCCTGGAAGGGGGGCAACCAGGACAGAATCCGGTGCCCCGACTGGGACTAGAACCCGGTGTGCTGGCGCCGCTAGGTGGAGGATTAGCCTATTGAGCCGTGGCGCCGGCTCACACTATGATTTAACATCTTAACCCCTCATCGTGACTCTGAAATGCACACATCCAGAGCCTACCAGGAAAGGAGATACTGAGAATAAGAACATGCAGATGACCAAAAGCACATTCTCTGCTGAGGTGTGGGGTGTGAGGCAGATAGAGATATGACCGGAAATGTTGGCTGGAGAACCATGCTAAGTGTTAACAGTCTAAAATTTAAGTTTGCTGTTATCCTAATTGCAATATAGTTCGCAAAGCAAGGTGGGACATCTGTTGGAGGGACATGTGACCCTTGGGTTGGCCTCCACACCTTTTCACATTGTGTCTGTTGTCAACATTCCTCCTGGTCATTAAAGCCACCTTATGTAAAATCTCTCACATTGAAAGAGAGAGCACAATGCATATCCCTTCCTCAGGGACCTTGTCACTCATTCATTCCTCCACAGGCAGGTGCTGGCAGGCTCTGGCGCTGGGGCTGCCAACGAGATCTCCCCCTGGTTGAAGCTGAGCTGAGCTGTCTGGAATAAAGGGAGAAGGACAGAGCAGCCACAGCCAAGTACTGATTGAAGACTTGGAACTCTGAAACTGCACAGGAGAGGAGCCTGGCTTCTAATTTTCTCTGGGTCTTTAGGCAGAATCTCTTCATCTTCCTGGGCCTCTGCTTCCTTTCATCTTTAAATGAGGGGTGAGACTAGCTGCTCTCTGAGCTCTCGTCCAGCTCTGATTAATCCTAAGTCTTCATTTACTCAACAGAAACCCTGTGGTGCTCCCATAGTGTTCTCTTCCCTCATAGCATACTTCTCTCTCGCTACTCTGCACGATAATTTCTGTGTCTATGCTAGACAGTGTTTATGCTAGGACTATCATTTGGGAATGAGATACAAAAACCATCACAACTTTTTAGCTTAGTTACCTGGGGCAGGGTCTTGGCAGCTTTGAACTTCAGTTCCTCACCTGCAAATAGGAATATTAATATCTGCTTTCTTATAGTCCAAGCATAGAGGTGAGGATGAATGGGAACAATGTGGGGAGCAACTCGGACTAGACTAAGTTACTGGAATTAAGACTTATTCTATGCATCTGCTCTCCCACAATATGGCGCTGGGAGAGGAGTAAACAGCTTCTACGCAGCTGCCTCTCGCCAACTTGAGTGATGACCTGCAGGAGCTGATCCTGCTCCTGATTGGAGGAGAGCAGCGTGCTCGGCATGTGGGTAGCAGAGTTGGGATTGGTAGAAGAGGACTATAAAGGAGGAGAGAGACAACATGCACCAGGAACATCTAAGGGGAACACCTGAGCAGCCCCCGAGAAGCCCCCGAGAGAGCCGGCTGGCGGTGTGCCACTCCCCCACGGAAGTGGGGAAAGTGGCAGGGGGCACCGCCCTTCCACGGAGGTGGAAGGGACGGTAGCCAACCCAGGAAGAACCAGCAGCAAACCCAGGAAGGGCCGAGCAGACAAAAGAACAGCGCAGGGCCCTGTGTCATTCCTCCGCGAAGAGGGGGAGTGACATAATGGTGCCGTGACTTGGATAGAAAGCCTAGGCAGGGTTTAGTGTCATTCCTCCATGAAGAGGGGGAGCGACAGAACAATGTGAACAAAAGGTTGTAAACGATAAAGGGGCATCCTGTCCAAGGGATTATCACAAAGCTCAAATGCTTGGTAGGAAAGACTCCTTGTCTTACGCAGCACATACCTAGTAGAGTGTTGCCCCTTAGAAGATACTCAAGAATGTTTGCTCAGTGAATGAATAAGTGAGACTGTGAACAAAGGGGTGGGAGCTGAAGATTGGCAAGAAAGCAAGATATGAAGGGACTCACTTCACATACATGGGGTTCCATAAGGACCCCCTCCATCCTGCTCCTGCATGCAGCATGTTGACAAGTGTATACACTAATACTAGGAAGTACAGGCTGCCCTGCCCTTCTCTCATTCAAGGCAAGAGAACCACCCAGGGAGGTGGCAGGGAAGGGTGTTTTCTCTACCAAGCCCTGCAAAGCTGCTGAGAACTCTGCTCGGTTTCCCAGCCTAAGAGCTGCAGCCTTTGTTTGGCCTCTCAGCTCTCTGCCCAGACCAATTACCAGTCCACAAATGCCTTGAGAGGAAAAGCAGCAGAGGGTGTTGGGCTGCCTTCCATGCGTCCCCTTCTCCCTGGGATCTCGGCCCTTGGTGCCTCTCCAAACCTTCAGAAAGATGTTTTGGTTTTTCTCTAAGGATCCTGGTTGTTCTCAGTGGGAGGTTTAGCCTGCTATAAGGCTGAAGAAGAAACGGAAGTCCTGTGGCATTTTTTCAATGCTCCTCTGGTGACCACAGGCAAGACGGAGAGTCCCTGATCTGGGCCAGATTCTCACGAAACAGAGGGGAGCCTGAGCACACAATACCAGAGCCAGGACTCGAACCCAGGGTCCCTGGTATACAGGTCACTGTGTCTCCCATGGCACCATGCCGGTCCCTCAAGAGGCACCCGTTCCATTTCAGTGTCCTTCTACCCTGGGAAGCTGGCAGGTTGCCTCTGACTGTGAGGTCAACAGAGGTGCCTCCTGCCCATGCACCCTCCCACCTGTACCCTGAGAAAGTGGGCCCATCTGCCCAGCCCACCCCACCCCCAACCTGAGTGCAGGCCCCAGAGCAGACCACCCTCCTCGTCCCAGACATGCAGTCATTTGTGGCCAGCCCTAATGGCCCTGAGAGCCCAATTACAGCCTGTGGCTTCCTCAGTAATTATGAGCCTCCCCGGGGCCAGAGGCTGCTCTGGTCCCCTCTCCCAGCTTGCACCGCGGCCACCACATCTGGCATTTCCTCCTTGGCTGGCAGTGTCCCACCTCTGCTCCGTGCAGCAGCTAGCCCTCCCTGCCTCTCTCTGCCTTCAGCTTGGCCCGATGCCACTGACTCATTGCTGTCTGGGTCCTTGGCACCCTGTCCTGGAGAGGGCCTCGGGCTGCCTCTGTCATGTCCTTTCCTCTTACGCTAACCACTCAACCATCATTGTCAACTTGGCCTTTGGGCAGCCCCAGCCCCGCTGGCTGGCTTCTCCCATGGCATGACTCATGGCTGGTGCAAGGGGCAGCTGGAGGCCCTGCTCCCCTAAGGAAGCCAGCTTTTCCGCTCTCCAGGGCCCCCTCAGCACTCTGCAGACAGCACCCTGACAGTAGGAGGCTGGGGGGCCCTTGGTGTCCGAGGGGCAGAGGCAGCAGGGGCCAGGGGAAGGAGCCTGGATCTCTGAGCGTCTCTGGCCTGGGTTGGAGTCCTGACCCCCACCTCCCTACCCCCCGACTGTTGGTGACCTTGGCAAGTCACCACCCTCTGCATCGTGGTTGGTGGGCTGCAGAGGGCAGGCAGTGACAGTGCTGGGGACGTAGTAGACCCTCAGTTGACAATGGTGACAGGCGTCTCCTGCCCGACCACAGCACCATCAGTGAGGGACTCGGGACTGAGTAGCCGCGGTCCCCAGGCCCTGAAGCGGACGCTGTGACCCAGGCCTCTGTGCGCTCATCCGCGAGCAGGTGGGCGTCTTCCCCACGCAAGGAAAGATGCCCCCAAGCTGTCTGGGAAAGAGGAGCTGGAGGAGCGGGCTGGAATGGGAACGAGCAGACCCTTCTGGCATTCCTCCCTGCCCTCGGGCATGGAGGCCCTTGGCAATGCTCACAGCCGCCTGCTAGGTTCCTTGGGGCCAAGGACGGGAGGTCACCCGCCAAAGATGGTGGCCTAGGAAGGTCTCAGGAAGAGAGAGCAGGGGACGTCAGCCGGCCTGGGGACAGGGAAGGGGCATCCTGGCTAGGATGAGAGTCCTCCATGTCGAGTGAGGCACAGAGGAGCCAGGGCGCCACGGCTCCCAAAGAAGCTGCCAGCAAGGGGCAGGGTGGGGCAGGGGCAGAGTGCCCAGCCAGCCGGGGCGGGAGAGTAGCAGCAGGCCCAGGAGTTTGGGGCCACAGGCCTTTGGAAGCGGTTGTGTGCAGCACCCTCAGTTGTATTAAATGCAACTCACTGATGTGTGTTAAGTGCTATTCGATCGTGTGTCTCCGTTGTGTTAAATGCAACTCTCAGCTGAAACCTGAGTTCTGGGGAGAATTGCCCAGTGTTGCTCCACCACCCACACAGCCTCGCGGGGCCCCTCTGCCTCTGAATGGCTCTCTGCTTTTCTAAACCTCAGCCGGACCCGGGTGCCAGGAGCGAGTCAGGGTGAAGACAGACGCTGGGACTCTGCCAGTTCCCAGCAAGGCGTGCCAGGCCGGGGGAGGCAGCGCCTGCGTGGGCAGCCGCCTGTGCCTGTCATTCTGGCTGCCACCCTGCCAGCGGCCCACTGGGGACCAACGGGTAGGTCCTGCCTCCTGGTTTCTCTGAGGCCAGGCTGCTGCCAACACCTGCTGGCCGCTGCCCCCAGCCCCCACCTCCTCACCACCCCAACCACGAAACCCTAGCCTCTGCTGCTGGTGGGCCACCGAGCCGCTGCAGAGCCACATCCCCGTGGCAGGAGGTGGGCACGGGCTGGCAACGGCAGGGAAGGGACCGGGAGGTTTTCATTGGCTCTGGAGGGCCTGACCGGCTGGGCTCTGGTTTCCAGTTTAGGTCATAATGGAGGATGGTGTCCACTGCCTCTGTTCCACTGTAAGAAACACTCCAGGAAGGGACACAGGAGGAACACAGCAGAAGATGGGGAGCTCGGGAGCAGAGGGTGTCAGTCACCAGCACAAAAGGACCCTGGTGTCGCAGAACTGGAAATGGCAACTTAGAGGGCTGTCAGCTCCTGGCATTCACAACCCCTTCCCCCGAGAAGCCCACCTGGGTTCTTTTGCCTGACGCCCAGGCTGGTGCTGTGCCCGCCGTGTCCATGGGCGAGCCTTGGGAGGGCTGCCCCGTGCTGACTGACTCCTCCCCTCTTCTCTTTCATCCTAGGTGCCCCCGGCCCTCCAGGACCAAGAGGACTCAAAGGAGACGTGGGTGTGAAAGGGCCTGCTGGCAGCAGAGGACCCAAAGGAGACACTGGTGGCTTGGGCCCCCCTGGGCCCCAGGGGCCTCAGGGGCAGCCTGGGGAGGCAGGACCCGTGGGAGAAAGGGGACCAGTTGGTCCTCGAGGTTTTCCAGGCCTCAAAGGCTCAAAAGGCAGCTTTGGGACTGGAGGGCCAAGGGGACAGCCAGGCCCCAAAGGGGATGTGGGGCCCCCAGGGCCAGAGGGACCCCCAGGGTCTCCGGGGCCCTCAGGGCCTCAAGGAAAGCCAGGGATCGCAGGGAAGACAGGGTCACCAGGCCAGCGGGGGGCCACGGGACCCAAGGGTGAGCCGGGGATCCAGGGTCCCCCTGGCCTTCCTGGGCCCCCAGGCCCACCAGGAAGCCAGAGCCCCTACTGAGGAGGTCTGCAGCCCAGACATTGCCACATCAAAGGGGAACAGCTCAGGGCAATGCGAGCTCCCCAGAAAGCCTCACCCCTCACCTACAGACAGCTGGAGGGGTCCCCCAGGGCTGATCCTGCAGCGTTGGGCTCATGCATAGTGATGCTACCATAGGAAAGTGCCCCCTACACATGCACACACACGCACACACACACACGCACATTTCCCTGCTGGCCAGGGGGCCAACTGGGTTTCCCTGGCTGGGCAGGAGGAGAGGGCCGACAACCCCCTGTCCTGTGACTGAGCCTGCCAGGGAGGTGGCTACCTCGGGAATCTGTCTCTGAATGGTGCCAGCATCGCCACACCCATCCCGACCTGGGGCTCCCCAAGGTTGAGAAAACCTTGCAGGGTGGAACCTGAGAGTTATAATTCCAAGGTCAAGGTGAGCTTGGCGTCTGCAAGACCCTCCCCACAGTCGTGGGAACAGAGCCCTCAGGGAGCTGCCCCACTCACACAGGCAGTGGGACTCTGCCGGATCTGGTGTTTTCATCCCGCCCACAGGGCCCTGGACACAGCCAACATTTTCTTTTTCACGTGTCCAGAAAATGTCTCGCTTCCTCCTTGCTTCTGCATCTCAGGAGTGGCCCAAGAAGAATCCATGCAGGAGTGTCATCAACCCAGGGAGACTCTCAGGTTCTGGAACATTCTGCCACAGTGATGCCCGGCACCAGGGAAGGCTGCAGAAGCAGGAAGCAGAGGGGAGCCTGGAGGTTCTCCCTGCAAAGGCCTCCCTTGCCGCCTCCCCAGCAGGAGACCACCAGGCTACAGAAGGGCAGGCCCAGGGACCAGGGCAGCTCTCCTGTTGCCCACAGCCGCCTACGGACCTCACCACACGGCGCCTTCTCTGTAGGAGCAGCGAGCTGGGCTAGGCGTATGAAGGGCCTGCGCAGCCACAGGAAGCTCACTTGGACATCACCCCCCGCCTCTCCCAAGACCTCTGCCGCACACTGGTACTGGGAATGTACTCTGGCAGGATGCAGGCCTCCCGTTGGCCAGCCTCCACGGGAAGCTCACCCCTGGGATGGAGGCACGGAGCCATCTCCTCCCCAACACGGACTCAGAGACCAGCCCTTTCCCTGTTCAAAGCCTCTCTGCCACCTTCCTGTCACGGATGTGCAACTGGTTTGCACTCCCTGCCCCTCCCACTGCGGTGTAATTCTCCAGTCTACACACGATAATATCATGCGACATAGTATTACCGACTCAGTAAAGAGCTGTTTCCAGGAGGGAGGTGTCTTCTAGTCCTTTGTGCCCGGGCTGGTGCCTTCAGGGCTCCACGGGTGTTGCCCTTTAAGGGGAAGCAGTGACCAGGGTCCCCCTGATGTTCAGTCCTGCGTGGAGGCTGGGTCTAAACCCAGAAACACAGAGCTCTGCCAGGAGTCGGCCTGCAGTCACTCACGGCAAGGCCAAGGACCCCAAGGTTCCGAGGGGCTCGCCGACCACGAGCCCCATGAGGCTTCCAGTGTGGCCCTGTAGCTCTTTGACTGAAACGAGATTGGAGAAGGTAATAGGCCTGGGTCCCCCTGAGGGACACCTCCTGCCTCCCTCTGTCTCTGACAGAACAGGAAAGAGGGAAGAGACCTGGCCAGACCCATCTCCCCAAGGGCCTGGCTCAGTGGGTCTACAGGGACAGAGAGCCGGGTCCCCTGGGAATCAGCCTAGGCTCAGACAGACTTTTTTTTGTGGAATGATTTTTTTAAGGATATATTTAGATATTTGAAACACAGAGTTACAGAGAGAGAGAAAGGTCTTCCATCCGCTGGTTCACTCCCTAAATGGCTGCAACAGCTGGAGCTGAGCCAATCCAAAGCCAGTAGCTTCCTCTGGGTCTCCCACATAGGTGGAGGGGCCCTAAGACTTGAGCCATCTTCCACTGCTTTCCCAGGTGCATTAGGGGGAGCTGGATTAGAAGTGGAGCAGCTGGGACTTGAACCGGCACCCATATGGGATGCCAGCACTGTAGGCCGGGGCTTCAACCCTCTAAGCCACAGCACCGGTTCCTCCAGAAAGACTTTTTTTTTTCTTTGACAGGCAGAGTGGACAGTGAGAGAGAGAGACAGAGAGAAAGGTCTTCCTTTTGCTGTTGGTTCACCCTCCAATGGCCGCCGCGGCCGGCGCACTGCGGCCACGCACCGCGCTGATCCGAAGCCAGGAGCCAGGTGCTTCTCCTGGTCTCCCATGGGGTGCAGGGCCCAAACACTTGGGCCATCCTCCACTGCACTCCCGGGCCACAGCAGAGAGCTGGCCTGGAAGAGGGGCAACTGGGACAGAATCCGGTGCCCTGACCGGGACTAGAACCCGGTGTGCCGGCGCCGCAAGGTGGAGGATTAGCCTATTGAGCCACAGCGCCGGCTGAGAAAGACTTTTAAGATATACTTATCTCACTCACTAGTAAAACATAGCCTTGTACAAGCCCTGGGCCCTGGTTTGCTTCATATGGGGAGAGGAGGGAGAGACAAAGTAGAGGAAGAGAGCAAAGCATAGAAGAATGAGGATGGGGCAAATGAGACATTGGTAGAGGGGCCTGACCACTTCCTCAACCATTTAGTGAGTGTCATGAAGTCCCTCCTCCCCCCAGCTGCTGAGATGTGTGGGGCGATGCGTTAGGTGCTGTGGGACTACAGGCCAAATGAGACCTGGAGCCCCCTTTTGGAGACCGACCTCTCCTAGGGGAGAGCAGCACGCAGTAAAAGCTGGGGTTCCGCCCACAGCCAGGCAGGAAGCAGACCCAGGAGGTTGGAGTCCTGGGCAAGTCTGACAGGGGAAGCTGGGCAGGTCAAGGAGGGTGGCCCTTGAGTGGTGGCACAGAGATGATGAACTCTGGAGGAGGCAGGCAGAACGTGCCAGCAGGCTCAGTTCAGAGTCTGGGGCCCCAAACAAATCTGCAGGAAACTGCTCACGGTCCAGGGTGACTGACAGCTAAGCCAGGCCAGCAGAAGGAAAAGCCAAATGTCTGGGAGTCAAAATCCAGAAAAGTGACATCCGGGATCAATTCCAAGGGCTCTCTGGGACTGGAATGTGAGTCAGGGCTACCTGGATCAAAACCAATAGATTTGAGATCATACAAGCAAAAACAAAAACTCGTGTATCGCCCCAAATTGCCACAACTAGCCCCTGGCTGTGTGGACTGGGGGACCCGCTGGATGTAAGGGCGCGGGTGGAAGCAGACACAATGAAGGCCACCCGTGCGATCACAGGAGTCCCATCGAGCTCCAGCAAGGAGACCGGGTGGCGGCATTCATGTAGGGAAGCAGCAGGGGAAAGCAGGGCGACAGGCAGTGACGTCGGCCTCAGGGCTGCGGGGTGTGGAGAGCTGCAGCATCCCGAGGCTGCTCCCCTTCCTCCAGTCCACGGGCAGCTCTCTCTTCCGTGCCTCGGGGGCCACGGAGCTCCCCCCTCCCCCCGCCATGCCTCTTTGTCACTGATCAGCACCCTCTGCTTGTGCAAGGCCTCGGGGCCACCACTCACCGCCTGTGACCTCAGCCAATTCCCAATTGTTAACACAGCGATCTGAGGACGAGACCCTCGGGTCAAGGGTCTACCCCAATCCAATGAGCGGTGACTGTAGAGGGAAGGGAGGATGCGTGGTAACATTGGAGACATGAGAGCGAGAATAACTACAGGTGAAACTGGCAGTGAAATCTGTGGTGGGCAATTTAGGAATGAGAGAATAACAGCAGTACTAGCTGAACCCCCTGGAGGGGCGATGACTGTGTGGCCTGATACCGGCTGTGAGTACTGTTCTTAGAGTAGCTCATTTAATCCGCACCTCAACTTACGCAGCTGCTATTATCATCACCGCTTTACAGATGGGGAAGCTGAGGTTTGGAGAGATTAATCAATTGCCCAAAGTCACAGAGATACTGAGTTTTTAGACAGCCTTGGGCAAACCACCGAACCATTCTGTGGTTTTATTGCCTGCCCACCTGCCCGCCTGCCCTTGAAGTTGCTGAGGGCATGCACTTGGCCGACTCCTGGGCGACCAGTCTGCTCTGTCACCACCGATTGCATGGCTGGTGCAACGCAAGTTTCTTTGCTGACAGCTGTTAGGCCGGAAAGTTCAAGACCAAGGTGCTGGCTCTTCCTGGTTTACCCTTAGCTACCTTCTTGCTGGGTCCTCACATGGCCCAGTCTTATAAGGCCAGGTCTTCTTGCACTAGGGCCACCCGTAGGACATTTAGCCTTAATTACCTCCTAAAGATCTTATCTCCAGATGCAGTTACACTGGAGTTAGGGTGTCAACATAGGAAGTCTTCGGGGATGCTGCTGAGCCCACAGCATGTAGCAATGGCCAACACTCCATAAGCATGAGCCTTGGAACCGCTGCAGGCCCACACCCTATCCTCTACAGTTGAGTGACAGGTCATCAGCCCCTCCCCCGCCCCGCCCCGCACCCCTGTGTCCACACTGTGTGCTTGGAAGAGCCAGGAGAGACCTGCTGAATCATCAGGCTCAACCTTTTCCTTTAAGATTTATTTACTTATTTGAAAGGCAGAGTTACAAGCAAAGAGAGAGAGAGAGAGAGCTTCCATCCACTGGTTCACTCCCCAGATGGCTGCAATGGCCAGGGCTGGCAAGGCCAAAGCCAGGAGCCAGGCACTTCATCTGGGTCTCCCACGTGGGTGGCAGGGACCCACACCTGGGCCATCTTCTACTACTTTGGGGGTTGGTCTGGAAGTGGAGCAGCCAGGACTTGAACTGGTGCCCATATGGGATGCTGGCATTGCAAACAGAAGTTTAACCCACTGTGCCATAGTGCTGGCCCAAACCCTTTTTTTTTTTTTCAGACTTATGTATTATTTTTATTTGAAAGGCAGAGTTAGAGGCAGAGGCAGAAAGAGAGATTTCCCATCACTGTTCACTCCCCAAATGGCCACAATGGCCAGAGCTGGGCTGATCCAAAGCCAGGAGCCACAAGCTTCTTCCCTGTCTCCCACATGGGTGCAGGGGCCCAAGGATTTGGGCCAACTTCCACTGCTTTCCCAGGCCATAGCAGGGTGCTGGATTGGAAATGGAGCAGCCGGGACTTGAACCGGCACCCAAATGGGATACCGGCACTGCAGGCAGTGGCTTTACCTGCTACACCACAGCACCGGCCCCAGCCCAACCCTTTCTTTTTCAAGAGAGAAACCAAAGGTTAAGAGAGGCTAACAGGTTTGTTGCACAGTGAGGACTAGAGCCCAGGTCTAGGTCCCAGGCAAGGACCCCTCTCCTGCCTGTGCTTGTGCAGCCACTTGCAAACTCTCCTGTTGGGTTGGGTCTTTGGGTGGCTCCAGTTCCATGTTCTCCCGGAAGTGCCGCCCCTGCTCAGCCCCGTGTCATCAAATAGAGGACACGTTTAGGCTCTGCTGCAAGAGCTGACCCTGGCACGCACGGTCTGTTCATACATTCTGTGAACTGGATCTGAGGGGGCAGGCTCCATCGTGGAGGTCCCTCAGTGGGTCCGTGGAGCTGAGGCAGGCCACGCTTCCACTGTGCTGGGCCCTTCGTCGTGCAACCTTGCAGCCAGCACTGGTCCTCTCTGACCTTTAGTTTCTTCTTCAGAAAACATCAGGAGTGACTGGTCGTCACTCAGGTCTGCTGTGCTGTGTTCTGGCGTCCTGCGATTCTAACCAAGGGAGTTCTCGCTGCCCTGCTTTCTTGGAACCTGCCAGGTCACAGCGATAAATCAGAACCCAGACTGAGAGGAGACAGCTGGTGGAATTCCAGCCACAGAGCAGAAGCACAGCTTTCACCATCAGGGTGGTTTTAAGCCTCAAGAGATTCACAAAGCCCCGAAGTTGCTCCTGGGCCTCCTTCTGAGGCTTTCTGGAAACTGCAGGCCCAGGCCTTGGCCCCTGAGTGCCT